GTGGCAGACTGTCCTCCTGGCCCACTCCGAGCCTCTCATCCTCATTTGGAGTTCCCCAGTAACCTAGACAACAGCGCCACCTCAGTCCACCCTGAGCCCGTGTTCTCAGCTCTGGGTGGCCCTTAAGAAAGGGCCAGAGGAGAGGGTGACCTAGGCCTCTCCCCCACCCCACCCCACCATGGCTAGCTGGGAATGCATGGCCCCTTTACAGAAATCAGTGAGAGAATAATCCTGACCCAGCATGAGCTATGAGAAGTGAGTAGTTGTACCCTCGGGGGGCTGGAGCAGTCATGGAAGCAGCTAGAGGAGCTAGAGCCGAATCTGAGCCTTGAAGAGGGACATAAACTGGCCTGACCTTCTTGGGCTGGGCCCCGGGCCATGGGCTGAATGAAGACGGGGGAGGACTAGGTTTTAGGAGCTCTCCAAGGTCCCCCACCTGCCTATGTAGTGGGAAGTGGGGAGTGGTATCATTCTGCTGGCCGAGGTACTGAAAGTTCCAAGCCTGCACAGTGGCTTCATTCTTTCAGTAAATTGTTGCTTCTGGCCCTTCCCATCTCCCTGCCAGCACCTTCCCACCCTCACTTCTTGTCATTTTCTTTCCAGACCTCTAGTGACTGCGTTGCTGTTGTCCCTTTACCACAGTACTGCTCACTCCCCATGAGTGAGCCCAACCTGTCTCTTGCACTCTCTTCCTCATAACTACCACCAAAAATGGTCCCTCGTGGTCCTTGTCTCCCATACCCTGCTAGTTTGACTATGGGGAACCCCCAGAAATGCTGACCTAGGGAGCACTTGAAAATGATGTATGGATGTGTGGGGTTGTCACAATGGCTCGAGGGTACCACTGTATTTAGTGGATTGAAAAGTCACACACAACGAATACATGACCCAACTGAGATGCCAGGAGCATCACTGAGAAGCAGTTTACATTACTTTTCCTGAGTGGGGAAACTGAGGCCAAGAAGGGCAAGAGTTAGCGAAGGTCATTTAATCAGCCAGAGACAAAACTACAGCGAGAATATAGGCCTCTGTCTTCTCCCAGCCAAGCTCCTGGATCACTCAGGTGACTGCCCAAACTAGGAACTCTTATCAAAGTGTCAGCATCTGAAAGGGAGAGAGCCCATTGTAATGGGGGCTTTCAACAGGCCAGGGCCACTCTGGGGACAGAGTTCTGGCACACTGCTGAGGATAGGGTCCAGGCTTCCCAGGCCATAGAGCCCAGGAAGAGAAGACCTTGCCGGCATCATCCAGACCCTAATGCCCCTGGCAGACTACACTTCACACCATTGGCATCGATCTTCAGTAGGCCACCAGTGTTGCTGTGGTAACAGGCACCCACCTCGCTGTATCCATCCCCACAATTCTGGCTGGACCACCTGCCCTCAGACTTTACATGCCCATCTTCCTGTGGTTCCCAGGGGAGACTCTTTCTGTCTTACTTTCTCCTGTCCAGGGCTGTGCCTAAGGGCTCAGCCTCCTCATTAGCCAGCTCCCTCAAAACCTGGCAACATCTGTCTTCCAGTCCCCTGGTGCCCAGTGTCTGTAGCCAGAGCCTCATTTCCAGGCACGGCTGGGGCCCCAGAGGAAAGCCCCTCCCACCACTACATCCCATGTCTCAGACCCTGCTTTCCAAGGTTTTGGCAGGTCTGTGTCAATTTGATTCAACCCACATATGCTCAATGGCTCACTCCTGAGGGGGGATATCTGTTGACTCCAATATGGTCTCTGCCTACTTGTCTGCCTCCAGGGAGCTCAAGTTCAGGAGCAAAGAAAAGAAGGACCAATTCCAAAGAGATGAAGCCCATAGTGAGTTATGGCAAATGCCATAAAAGAGATTTTTCTTTTTTCAAGCTATGTAGTGCAATAGTGGACTGCAAAGTAAATTTAGTGGGTCGTGACTAACATTTTTATATAAAACATTAGAAAAGAGTAGAAAGAAAAATATAGCTGTGGTCAAGATAAATTTCACTCTGCAAAACTGGATTCAGTGATATGAGGGGTGTGTGTGTACGTGCACACGTGCACTGGACTGTGATGTGAAGTGGATGTGTTGCTGTAGTTCAAGGGCAATAGAATATGAAGGCCAATGTTTCAAGAGATGAGAAGACACAGAGGAGATGTTTAGAGGGGGAAAAAAAGAGATTGCTTAATACCTTGGATGTTTGGGAAGCCTCCAGGAGGAGGTGGCATTTAAGCTGGGGGTTAAGAGATACGTAGAAGTTTGTCAGTGAGCAATGGGGGCGAGCGGGAAGGGTGTTTCAAGCAGTAGCTCACATGGAGCTGAGTATGTGCCAGGCCTGCTAGTGCAAACTTCAACTGCATGCGAAGTGGTGGAGATGGGACAGGAAAGTTAGGCTGGGGCCCGAGTGTCAAGGGCCTTGAATAGCACACCAAGAAAGTTGGACTTAATTCCCAAGAATGATAAAAAGCTGATGATGGCTTTTAATCAGAAATCAGCATGGGTGGGGTAGGGTGGGTATAGCTCAGTGGTAGAGTGCATGCTTAGTGTACACGAGGTCCTAGGTTCAATCCCCAGTACCTCCATTAAAATAAATAAATAAGTGTTAAAAAATAAAAAAGAAATTAGCATTGCTCACTCTGGCAGTTGGGGTCAAAGGATAGAGAGTTGAGGAGTCAAGAGAAGCAATAGGGAGGCAAGATAGGAGGCAGTTGTGTTAATATAGGCAAGAAGATTAATGGGCATGAAGCAGGTGGACTCCAGAAAAAGAAAGAGGAGACAGAATCCACAGAACTTGGTATCACAGGGGCATTGATGTAAGGGACCAGAAAAGTCTCAACAACATCTCTATTCTGACCCCCTCCCATCTGCAAGCCTGCTCCATGGTCAGTACCACAAGATATCATATGTGGGAAATGAGTATTCTGAGTTCATGTCTTCAGGGAGCCCCACACTGATCAGAGACCAGATTCACACACCTAAACAATTAAAGCCAGGTCATGAGCAAGAGCTGGAGTGTGGGGCTCAGGCTGTCACGACTGAGGGAGATGGGAGTGTTGGGTGGCTCAAAAGAAAGAGACCTGTGAGATGAGAGCAATCAAAGAGGCCTTCCTGGAGGAAGGAGCTTAACAGTGAACTTCGGGAAAGCTGGATAACATCTGTGAACACATCCATTGAAGATCAATTTTTCTGTCCTTTGAACCACAGCCAGGATGAGGGTCTGTCTCACCTCACACAGGCCTGTTGAGATGGACTCTAAACACCCATTAGGAAGGGACTGTTCATTTTACAAAAGCACCCACCTTCCCAAGATGCCTTTACACGGGTCCTTTTGGCTTCACCCCATATTCTGTCTTTTAGTTTACTAACATCACTGACCCTATGCATCAGATTCTCTTAACATACAAACTATCTATTGTTCTCCTTGTGGAAGGAGAAAACCCAAGTGGGTAATTGGGTGCCATGGCTAGGGGCGAGGAGCTAGTGTCCTCATGTTGGGGTCGGAATCGGTCTCAGACCAGCACTGGCCTGATTGACTCATATCCGGGCCAGGGACCTGCCAGAGGCAGGACTTGCCAACAAGCGACAGGCCCAGGAGGCAGGAATAGGCCGGTAACAACCTGAAATTTGAAAAATCTATGAGCTCAGATCACCAAATTAAAAAATAATTAGGCTAATAGAATCTCCCCCATTGTTCCTGCTCTTCAGCAAGTGCTCCTTAATAATTCCGTTGCTTTTAACTCACTGTCAGCTCAACGGAAGTGGATTTTTTTTTTGAGTAACTTAATTATTTCAAAACTCATTGCTTCCAAGAACAATCTAAGGTTCCCCTCCAGCTCTGTGAGTCTGTGCTCTGTGAGCTATTTATTTTAATTAGCTTTATATTGTGTAGCTAACATAAGCCCCAAAGAAAACTCCACAAACAACTGCCCATTAGCCAGAGAGCAGAACCCTAGTACAAATCACCCCCAAACAATGGATCACGTAGAATTTGTAAGTAAGTAGGGGAGGTAAGATACATACAATGAAACACAGAGCAGAGGCCGGCAAAGGGCTTTGGAGTTATCAGATGCGAGGGCTGGAGGTGGCCCGGTGGGCTCCCTGGAGCCGGTGACCTAGAAACTAGATCTTGACTGTCAATCTAGGATTTAAACAGAGCATAAATGTTCCTTGAACTTTGTACATCCCCCTTCGATAAAACCTGTGCTTTTGCACATCAAACGCTGTTGCTCTGAAATGTCCTCTCCCACATCATACTCCAGCTTTAACACAGAGGCAGGTTCTCAAACATTTAGAGATCACACGGTGGTCTCCCAGGCAGCTGCAGCTCTAGGTCAGCAGCACAGTCCTGTTCCCCCAGATCGCCGACCTTCCTGTGCACCTCTCCTCAGTAGTCTCGGGGTTGACAACGTAGACCCTGAAGCCAGACCTTCTGGGTCTGAATGTTCTCATCTTTGCATCCTTAGCAAGCCGCTTAATCTCCTTGTGTCTCAGTTTCCTCCTCTGTAAAATCGGTTCATGTTACTATCTACTGCATGGGGTCGCTGTGAGGATGGAATGGACAAGCGTCAATAAAGCAGTTAGAAGAGGACCTGGTAGGCGGCAAACCCCTGCTGTGTAAACGGCAGCTATTATGAAAACGGAAGTGCTGATACTGGTGGGAAGAGTATGGATCTCATGAGCAGAAAATGATTGAGATAAGGATGGAAATTATCCAGCGTGCTGAAAGCAGTGAATCTTCAGCCACAACCCAGGGCTCACAGTGGCGTTCAGTTCTGAATAAAATTAGAGAAAATATGCAAAATGCTAGTCAAAGATTGTATCAAAAATGGGTTTTATCATGCCTTTTAGCTACTGTGGGTGATGTCTTTTGTACACTTTTCACATTAATGCCTTTCACATAAAGTTCAGACCTGAGTTGTGTGCTTCCTGGCCTAGAGAGTATGAGATGTATGAACCTTATCCTGTGGGCACCAGGGAGGCAGGGAGTGTTCTTGAGGAGGGGAGTGACCTGCCTCTTGGTACTTGGCATCTTTTGCAGGGAATGCCTACCGAGAGTGCTTGGAGAATGGGACGTGGGCCTCACGGATCAACTACTCACAGTGTGAGCCCATTTTGGATGATAAGGTGAGTGGCCCCCACCTGCCTTGCCCCTGGTCCTTGTACAGGTAGTAGGACTCAGACTGAGCACAGAGGATCCCAAGGGTGGCAGAACCAGTCCTTGTGTCACCCAACCACCCCTTTTTTCACCTCTTGCCTCTGCCCCCATGTCCTGCCCTGTGCTCAGGGACACTGTGGTGGGGTAGAGAAGGGGGACGTGGAGCCCCACCTTCGGGAGAGCTTGGCTAGAGACGGACACAGGCAAGGTGGCACATGACATGAGAAGGGAATGAGTGACCTTGTAACCAATGCCCTGACATCTAACAGGCTGTGTGACTCCCTTCCACCTCTGGGTCTCAGTTTCCCCATCTGGCATTCTGACTGTATGACTCCACGTGGAAACCATCTCCTCAAGCCCCCTCCTCATTCGCCCACTATAGCCCCCAGCGGGGCTGGAACTTTTCCCCGAAAGAATTCCAAGTTCAGAGGAAAAACATTTGTCTACACTGAGAAAGTGATTATACAAAATGTGAGCCAAAAGGGGTCTGCAGTGGGAACCACAAGAGTGGCAAGCTGGATGGGTCATAAAGGACAGAAGGCGGTTGCCTCCAGCCCTCTGCCCTTACCGCTCCGTCTCACAGCCCCTCTGAGCAGTGGCAGACCAGAGCAGGGGTCGGGTGGCGGGACAGTCTGCCCCGGAAGGAAGGAGTTTCTTTAATCACTGCCTCTGTTCAGAATCACCAGTGTGTGGTGATAATAAGAAGCAGAGTGACTTTTGTTTGGTCTTGACATTGTTCTTAAAATCACTACAGACAAGGCACCCCCTCATTGCTGCAGCCAGGGCAGACCGATCCTGAGGCACCCCCAGACCACCCACAGGTCACTGCTTCTGAGACAGGAGGGCAGGTTGTCTCCATTGTACAGATGTCAAAACTGAGTCCCAGAGATAGAAATCGATTCCTCCTCAGTTGTTCAGCCCACTAGGGTCTGAGCTGAGACGAAACACAGATGAGGCAAACTCCCATTCCAAAATTACATAGAAAATAGTATCTATATACCCACAGCTCTGGCACATCTCAGAATACGTCATGTCCAAATCTGCCCCCAAATTGCACCTGGGGAGTCCTGACCACAGCCATTTATACCAAGAGTCACTCAGGGCTGAGAGAGCGCGGAGCCAGGTCAGGACACACAGCGTGGCCATCGTTAACATGCCCAGCCCCACCCTCCACATGCCCCTGGCCTCCGTCTGCCCACGTCTGTCTGTCTGTCCAGCAGAGGAAGTATGACCTGCATTACCGCATTGCCCTCGTTGTCAACTACCTGGGTCACTGCGTGTCTGTGGCAGCCCTCGTGGCTGCCTTCCTGCTTTTTCTGGCCCTGCGGTGAGTCCATCCTGCCCCTGCTTTCTCCTTGCTGTCCTCCCATGGCACCCATTTCATCTGTCCCAGACATTCTCACCTCCACTCGGGGGGTCCTGGAGCCAGGGAGCAAAAGGGGTTTGGGGGAGGTGCCCACGCACTGACCTCTGGCAGAGATGCAGGATGCATGGGGAAGCAGCTCTGGGAGATCCATCCGTGGCCACTACAAGTGGGAATCTGGCTCCTGGTACAGCTCTGTCCTCACCCCAAGCTGAGTCTCTCCCTGAACCTGTTGGGGGGAGGGGTACCAAATCTAGCCGACCCATAACCCTAGCTGACCCCTGACCCCTGCCCCAAATGAGCTCTGACCCCAGGTTCAGCCTGTCCCAGCTGACACTTGATCCTGGCTGATCCCTGACCTGGGCCTCCCACAGGAGCATCCGCTGTCTTCGGAATGTGATTCACTGGAACCTCATCACTACCTTCATCCTGAGAAATGTCATGTGGTTCCTGCTGCAGCTCATCGACCACGAAGTGCATGAGAGCAACGAGGTCACTGGGTGGAGGTTGGGGGCTGGGACTGGGGGGCACTGGGTGTCCCCACCTCTCTTGCCCAGTCCTTAGGTGGGGACCTGGATCTGAGCTCACCTCTACCCAATCAGTGTCCCTCCAGAGCCAGGGGTCGGGGAATGGGGCCAGGCTGGGGCTTGGGAGCAGCACAAACCTGACACTAGATCTTGGTTTATTCTCTTCTGCTCTCCATCTAATGAGTTCAGCACCTCCCAAAGACCTCTTAGAGAAAAGGAGTCCAAGATTAACCTCTGTTTAGCTTTATCTCACTTAATTCCAAAAAGACACATGTAGGGATTTTTTCCCATTATACAGTCATGAAAACTGAGGCTCAGAGAGGTTAGATGACACTGTAATGATGCCTCTGCATCTGGGCCACCAGGATCTTGAGCAGGCCAGCCACATGTTGCCTGCCAGTCCTGGGTTTGTATCAGCTGCTGTTGTATTGTATCCAAGTCCTTGTAAAACCAGAGCCTAGGATGGGGCCATGCACAGGGTTCTTTGGCTCACCATTAGAGAGTGCTCAGTATGCTGCCTCTGGATCGTTGTAGCATGTACCCAGCCTGCTTTGACCCTTAACTTGGCCCCACATTGAGCTATGCCCCAGGACTAATGGAATTCAATCCAGTGTAGGGTGCCCTGCAGCCCAGGGTTGGCTTATAGTAATAAGGTATTGTTATCTTGGAGAAAAAGCAGGGTTGGGAGGAGGGGGCTCTTTCAAGTCCCATCTCAGCAGGACTTTCTCAGAACAGAGGATACAGACAGCCACGTGGGGCCTCAAATCAGGCTTAGTTAGGACCATGGGGGAAAGCCATGGAGGCTGTGATCCGCTCAGCTGATTATCTGACAGCCAGGGCTGTTAGAGCCAGACAGAGAGTGGCTGAGCTGTCCACAGGGGCCATCAGCTCCCCATCACGGGGCTCCTTTGACCACCAGTCCCCAGGTCCCAGCCTCATCTCTGAGGGTGTCTTGGGGACGAACCCCTGGGAAGGCTGACCAGGCAGGGTCTGTGGATAAGAGCTCTGGCCTGAGGCCGGAGACCTTGCCGCTGTGGCTCCCTGTGCCCCTGGGCAGACTTGTCCTCTGCCTGCACCCCGGTCTTCCCTGTGAGGGGTGGGTAGCCCTGCTCAAAGGGACAGGAGCAAATTCCCCTCAGCTGAGAAGGCAAATGGCCACAACGTTCACTTCTGGGCACCTGCCTTTGCCGTCCTCCGTCTCCTTGAAACAACTGGCAGGGTGGCATCATAATTTTCTCCACCACACAGTGAGGTTCAGAGAGGTGCGGCCACTCATCGGAGACCCCGGAGTTAGTGAGTCTCCCTCCAGAGGCAGCAGTGCTGACACTCAGCCCAGGATCTCCTACACCCGGAGCATCACCTCCACCACAGCAGCTCACGTTCACAGCCCCTAGACCGTTTCCATCACAGTTTCCTTTTAATTGACTCACTACTTCTTTTCTAAGTGAAATTTTATATCCCATCCCTAAATGGAAGCTGGTCTGACTCGCTGTGAGTTGAAGGTGACACTCAAAAAAAAAGACAGTGAAAACACAAACAGGATTCAATTCTAGCCTCTGCCTGAAGAGAACTCAGAGCCAGGCTCCTTCTTTCTTTATGCAAAAGGGAGATTAGAAAGCCCTAGGGAGAAGTCAGGCACCCTGGTTCCAGGGGAGCCCGGCAGCTTCACTTAATCTGAAAAAGTGAAAGAGAAATGACGGGAGGAGGAAGCATCCAGAATGTGATTCCAGGATATTTAACGCCATGTCCATGACCCAACCCAAACGGCCTCCCCTCCGCCAGCGCCCGTGCCGCGCACTTGGGCCCTGACCCCGGGCAGCCGCTGACTGCTGCTCACCCCGTGCAGGTCTGGTGCCGCTGCATCACCACCATCTTCAACTACTTCGTGGTGACTAACTTCTTCTGGATGTTCGTGGAGGGCTGCTACCTGCACACGGCCATCGTCATGACCTACTCCACTGAGCGCCTGCGCAAGTGGCTCTTCCTCTTCATCGGATGGTGTGAGGGTCCCGGGGGTCCAGCAGGGCCTAGTGGGAGAGGGTACTGCCAGCAGGGTCACTTCCCTTCATCTTGTGTCCAAGGACAGTATCACATTGCTGTCTGCCACCCCGGGACAGCCCAAAGATGCAGCCACTCCCCTCCACACTGGCGAGGAAGCAGCAAATTGTCCCTCCAAAAGGACATTCCACAAAGAGCCCTCTTCTTCTTGTCTGGAATGGCCAATGCAAAGACCTTTGTCTCTGGCTTTAAAAGAGAAGCTGGCCAGCTCCATTTCTCTATCAAAAAAATCTCAGAAAATCACGCCATCGCTCATCTCTCTGACCTGCTTGGAGGGGGTGACTGAGAGTAGGGGAGGGCTGAGGACGGGGGTCTAGGGACAGGGCCCCCTGGGGTCATGGACGGCCTGCAGTTGGATGATTGGAAACATGATTCCAGCCCCTTGTGGTCCCTCCCCCCTTTATTCTACAAGAGGGGCTCCTGACCATCTGTCTGTCCATGTCTGTCCTACTTTCAGGCGTGCCCTGCCCCATTATCATCGCCTGGGCCATTGGCAAACTCTACTACGAGAATGAACAGTAAGTAAGACAGGCCCTCCACGGCGGTCAGAGGGATGTTAGGACAAGTCAGCCCTGGGTTCCAGCCACGCCAGGACAGATTCACTTTTCTGTTGTCCTTAAATTGAAAAGATTTCCCCAGCACCCAGAGATGCTCATGTGTCAAGTCAGCTTTGTTGAATCGAGCTAGGAATCATGGTTCCTTTAAACACCTGATGCTTGACCCCCTTGGCCTCCAGTAAAGCCTCCAGCCTAGAGTTGAATGGGGCAGGTCTGGCCTGGGGTATATGGAGGAGGGCAAGAGCTCCCGGCTTTCAGCCCAGAGCACATCCAAGGCTATAACATTGAGCCTCTCACAGACGCCCCAGCCAGGTCCATGGGCATTTGTTTTATTCTGGCATCCGAGTCTCTGCCTGGGGTGCAGTGTCCCATCTTGGGACCCGTTCTGCACCAGAGACTTTGAAATACTCAGCCCTTGGCCCAGATGACAGCAGCTCCGGCCACGGGTCAGCCAAGGAGCGGCTCGGAAGTCAGGTGCCAACAGCTGAGAGAAGAGGGTACAAGGGAATGTCTGTATACAGATCTGTATACAGATCTTAAAGGAGTCTCTGAGGCTGGAGAGAGCAGATGGGATTTCGGGGCAGGGGCAGGAATGAGGCGTGTTCCAGGAACTCAACATTAGGAAGAACTCCTAATGATAAAATCTGCCCAAGAATAAGAGGGCTGCCTTGAGAGGTAGTGAGCTTCCAGTTAAAGGGGGTGTCCAAACAAAACATAGAAACCCCGGTGCTGGTAGGCCTCAGGGGAGATTCCTACTTGTGGCAGTGTGCACTGGGTGACCTCTGAGGTTGTGGAGGACACAGTCTGAATTTCCCAATGTCTGTGGGGCCTTTCCTCAGCTCCAGTAGGAGTTACTGGCAGAGCCAGACTGGGTCCTGGGCCAGCCCTTCCCCCAGACCCTGAGGCTTCTCCACCCCCTATCATCTCCGGAGAATAACCAAGCCTTCCGTAGCAGCGGGCTCCCTTCGCTGGGTGAATGAGGCCAGGAATCGGGCTGGGAGAAGGCTCCCACCTCCACATCTGCTGCTTTGTGCAGCTGAGTGCCTGGCACAAGGAGCGGCGGGTTGCAAGCAGTGCGGGAACAGGTGGTACGGGCAGTTGGGCCCTGAGCCTGCAATGGGGAGCCCAGCTCTCCCTTCACTCACAAGCCTCCTGCAGGTCCAGCCCTTTGGGCCCAACAGTCTGGGATGGGTTGGGGAGCGTGGAGGAGGAGGAGCCCCAGGGTCTGCCTCAGTCTGCCTGGGGAGACCAGACCCTCCATGTAAGGCAAAAGGTAGCCCAGGATGGTCAGTGGGGCTGTCTATCCATCCAAGCTTTTTGGGAAGGAGCAGCCAAGGAGACTGAGTCTCAGAAAGGGTTATGCTGGAGGACCCTGGCCCCAAGTCTGCAGTCGTCCCCAGGCTCTGGGTCAGCAGGCCACTTACAGCCTACTTTGCAGGTGCTGGTTTGGCAAGGAGCCTGGCGACCTAGTGGACTACATCTACCAGGGCCCCATCATCCTCGTGCTTCTGGTAGGTCCTCAGTGGGAACTGAGACAGGGTTGGGCACTAGGAGGACAGCAGAAGATTCACCCAGAGGAGACTCGGGTAGGATGTGGCCTGGAGCAGCAGCACCCCCCACCGCCTCCTGCACACACTGTTCACACCTCCCTGCTGCCTGGCACCTTGCTCGCTCCCAGCTCTCTCTTCCCCACACTCCATGCCTTGATGCAGCCCCCTCCCCTCTTAAGCCCTCATATTCTTTCTCTGGACAGAGAATGGGTCTGACTGGCAGATTTCTAGTGCCTCCGACATCTGATGTCCCCTTGCCAGGTCCAGTGCTGAGAGAGCCCAGCGAGGCGGCAGCTGGTGGCAAGAGAAGGGTCTGTTCAGCCCAGACCTACATCTCCCTCCACCTGCAGCTACACCCCGTCCCCCAGGGCCCAGCCCACCACCCCCAGCCTGGAGCTGGAGCGAATGATGTATAATGAGCAATTGTTCCTTATCCAGCTCCTTGCCCTTTGCCAAACGTACTCACATCTAAGGTATAATTGCCACCATGTCTTTAATCCACAACAAGCTTTAATTGAGGTAGAGTTTAAGTAAAGGCTGCATTCTGCAAAAATGAATCCATTATGTATCATACATTAAAAAAAAAGGCATACAAAAAGCCCCGTAAGAAATTGGCATTTACGTAAGACTTATTTCAGGCTTGATAATTTCAGTCTCCTGTGTGTACCAGCTTCCTTAAAGGGCCACTCTCTCCTTGTAGGAAGATGGAGAGAGACTGCCATCCTCCTCTTGCACACAGCAGGTGCCTAATGGGGGTTTCTTTAGTCTACCTTAGAGACAACTACTGTTTACCTCTTTTTATTTCCTTATTCTCCCTTTTGTGACTTCTTCCTGGAATCATTTGACCCCCATCTTTGGAGTGTCCTTGATGTGTATGAACCAGAGATGACTAGGAAGGTTTTTTACCCACTGCCTGGAATTCCACCATCAGGGCTCCATTCATTTCAGAGGCAGAAGCCAGTCCTTGACAGCAGTCAGTCGGGGGAATCATTGTCCTTGGAGTCTCAGCTGCAATGAGTCACTGACCCCCGCAGTGTGAACGGAAACCTCGTGAGACCCATCCCTTCCCCACCAGCTGCTAAGAGCCCATCCTGCAGGGAGAGGGCTTCTGAGGAGCCTGGGAGCCAGCCAAGGGGAGGCTGGCCTGCGTGTGGAGTGAGCCCCCTCTGCAAGGATGTTGAACAGCAGTGAGGAAATGAACAGAGAAAGGGAGACAGGCTTGGAGGGCCCAGTGCCAAGACCCAACTCCCGCCTCCTCCCCATGCCTCCTTCTCCGGTTCCACCCTCACCAAGAGCCCTGTGCTCGTCTTTCCCTTAGGACTCAGCCCACATCCAGCTATTTGCACTCACAGGGCTTCCAGGTTCAAAACTGAGCCTTCATTTCAGAAGCTCTGCCTTCATTATTTCCAATCCTCACATCCTTGATGCTTGGAAGTACGGATGATGCTCCCCATTTCACAGATGAAGAAACTGAGAGATGAAACAGCTGCTCAAGGCCACCACTAATAGCTCACTGAGCTGAGACTGAAGGGCAGGTCACCCACCACCTCCTGCTGTCCTCTCCATTGGATATGATCTCGGTGCCCCAGCCACCCGTGCCCTTCCCTAGAGGTTCACAGCTGTTTGAGAGACCCATGCTTATTTCTGGGTTCTGGGAAGGGAGTTGGCTGGTTGGGTTTGCAGGAGGCTGTTGTCACGGCCATTGGCGTGGGGAAGGCATGTGACGTTATGGCCCCCCCTTCTCTGGGCCAGGCATGAGCTCAGTACTCTCCATGGGTATTTTAACCTGTGGTGACCTTCCAAGACGGGCTTCCTGGCCATCCCCACTGGACAGGAAAGGAAGCTGGAGCTCAGAGAAGTTAATTAAGCAACTTGCCCAAGGCCATGCAAATGCCAGTTTAATAGCTGGAATTTGAGCTACGGGACAAGGACTTGGTGCCAGGTGTTCATATAGGAGGTGGTCCCAGGAAGCCCGGGGAGGAGCCGGAATAGAAGACAAGGAAGGGAGGAAACCAGCAAAGGCGAGGTGATGAGCAGCCTTCCACGGGGCAACACTTAGACACGTCTCAGGATTGACCCCTGGTCAGGAAGCCACACCCACACGCTTCGTGCCCCATCAGTGGAGGTTGCCCTGGGGATGTTACATCCCCATATTTCCAGCACCCCCGTCCCCTCATTTTTCAGGCTGAGCTAGCTCCCCAGCACCAGAGAAAGCCTCCAGTTGGGAACGGTCCCCTGCAGCTGCAGGTGGATTATGTATGGCACCCCAGCTCTGTCTGGCGAAAGCATTGGCTCTTTGTTCCACAGATGGTGTCTTTCCATTCAGTGCTCCTCCCAGCAATATTCTAGCTGCCCCTGTTCCAAATGTAGATTCCAGGGCCCCCCACTTGCCACTGAGAATCTCTGGGGTGGGTCCAAGATCTGCATTTGAAACAAGACCTTTGACGTGCATACTCTAGTTGGAGAAGCACGGTGTTCAGGGGCCCTGGCGGCAGGGATGTGAGTTGTGTGGGCTTTCTCCATGGCCCAGCCAGGACCCTCCGTGCAGCGGGCCTGAGGACTGAGGTCTCTGAGACTTCACTTGCCTAGGAAATGCCAACAGGAAGGGTAAACTGAGGCATCCAGTGGAAACCAGGCTCCCAGAGCCTGTGAAACAGACTAGTCCCGCGGCTGCTAGGGACACCTCCACTTCCATCTTGTGGGGCTCACTGGTGAGAAGTCATGACTCCACAGATCTAGGTGGGACAGGCAGGTTGGCCATGTTGCCCGACCTGGTGAATGTGTACTACAAGAAGCTGAGAGCTAGGAGAGGTGAGAAGAGGGAGCTGAGATGTGATGGCAGCACCCCAATAAACCTGCCTAATACCCGGAGCTGGAGGGGAGCGGGGCAGGGACTTCCTCCCAGCCTGGGTTTAAAGGCGAGGAGGAACCATGTCTGAAGCTGAGGAGGGAGAGATATCAGCCCTCCCTCCCTGCCCACCTCTGCACACACGCAGACAGTGAGGGTTTGGGAACAAGGTGGGGCTCCTGTGAGCACTGGGGCTTAGCAGGTGTCCTCACCCTTGCAGGGATGGGGCGTGCACTGGAGGTGAAGGACCAGTGAACTGGGCCTGTTTATTTCTCTGCCCTGGTGATGGGGAGACATGTGCTGTGTGGTGTGGAACAACCAGTGGTTGGAGCCCCCTGGAGTTTATGGTGTGATCCTGAGAAGGCTCTTTGCCCTCTTGGAGCCTCAGTTTCCCATCTGTAACATGAGGATGCCAGTCCCTGCTTCACAGGGTCACCGTGAGGACTAGTGGGCTCAGGACAAGTGTCGGTGGCCCTGGGGCTCTGGCTCCAGCAGTTCCTCCTGGCACTTGGAACCACAGGTTCAGATCCTGCACTGATGGGCCTTGTAGGGCTGTCCTGAGCTCCAGTTACCTGTCCCTGGCAGTGTGAGCAATGCCTTCCCTCTGTTCCTTCCACCTGGCCCACGTTTCATTAACTCCTGTGGTGTGTGCAGCGGTGTGATATGGGAATCAGGAGAAGGGTGCTGAGGCCAGCTGCCTGGTTCAAATCCTGATACCAGTGTCCCCTACCTCTGTGGCAAGGGCAAGTGATGTAGCCCATTTGAACTTCAGTTTGTGCATCTGTAAAATCAGGATAATGATCATACCTACCTTGTAAGGCTGAGGCCTGAGGAATAGTCGTGAAACAAGTGGAACAAAACCTGGAGCGGTATGAGTGCTGGTCCACGTTAGGGAGCCCCGGCCCACCCTCACCTGTCCTGGCAGCACCAGAACGTCCAGACCCCCAGTCAGATCACCCGCCACCACTAACTGTGCCAGGCGCAGTCTCTGAGCAGGGTACTCCCCCGAGGGAGCCTCCTTTGAGGTGAAGCTGGCTCCCCCGAGGAACTAGCGTGTCAGTGGGGTGCGAGCTGCCAGCATCAGCACCAGGAAGGGCGGGGCTGGGTGATGTGAGGCTGGACCTCTCAGGGAGACGTCTCCAAGGGGTCTGGCCTTACCCTTTCACCCCGCACCCTCTCCCCTTGGCATTCCGGGAGCCCACCACATGCAGGCTGCTCTAAGAACATTCTGGGCTGGGAGTGCCCTGCAGGGGTTGCTGTAGAAAGGGGCAGATTTCACGGTGTTGGCTAACCTCAGTCACACTGGCTGAGAGTCGGCCTGTCTCCCCTACCCCAGGACTTTCTCTGCTGGCCTTTTCTCTGTTTCTGTTTCAGACACAATCCCTCACCTTCCTTCAGTTCTCAGCTCAAGTGCCATTTCTCTAGGCCTTTCTGGCCCCTTGGGACAGATAAAACACCCCCTCCCACCAGACTACAAGCCTTCTGCCCAGGGGCTGGGTGGGCCACGTGGGCTTCCATCGCTGCAGCTGGGCTCAGAGGCCTGACACGTGGCGAGGAGATTCACTGAATGAATGAATGAATGAATGGAACCAGAAGCCAGGCTGGACAAGATTAGGGTACAGTGGCCATTGCTCACTGAAGAGCTGGGACTTGGCAAGGGGGGAAAGAGTGGGGTCTGAGAATGGAAAGCTGGAGCGCTTAGCGTGGGCTGAGGTAGTCAGTAGCTCCCTAGGGGAAGGAGGAAGGTACCTGCGGGGAAGTGAAGTGGAGAAGATGTTGGAAAGGGGGAAGCTGGGAACCAAGCTCAAAAGCAAAGAGTGACTTGGGGGATGCACAGACCAGATTGAGATGGGGTGGGGGCAGCATCACTGACTGCCTGCCTAAGCTGAGGAGAGGGGATGGGGACAAGACCTTGTCTTCCAGACCTTCTACACTGGCCCCTGTCCCTGCTCCTGCCTCAGCACATGGAACAGGGCCTGTAGCCCAGAGGGACTCAGCAACTGCTTATTGGCTGGCTGGCTGGCTGGCTGGGTAGGGGATGTATGCATGTCACCTGTTAAATAAATGGGTGAGCAGGTCAGCGGGTAGATAAATTGATGAATGGAATGCTGAGTAGATATTTAGATGGCTAGATGGATGGGTGGGTGGATGTTACACATTAAATGGGTAGGTGGGTAGGTAGATAAATTAATGAATGGTTGGTTGAGTAATATTTGGATGGATGGATGAATGGGTGGATGGATAGATGATAAGAGTGGGTAGATAATTGAGTGAATTGGTTATTAGGTTGATGGGATGATGGGTAAATAAGATTTAATGCCTGGAAATGTGGAAGAAATGAAAGTATATTTTGACTCCAACAGCCTCTACTCTCAGAGAAATCAGGAAGAATCAGAAAAGGTCAAGTATTTTGTATCACTTGTATGAGAAAATTAGGATTGACCTATGTGTTAAGGTGACCTCATGAGCCAAAGGAATATACTAGAAACCCAGGAGCTAGAAATTAGACGAGCCTTAAGAGGAAACAAGGTGCAGCAGGCCATGGGCAGCCCTGGCTGAAAGCTTCCCATCCCCCCTCACCCTGGGTTCACCAGGCTGTGCCACTGTGGGCGTGAGAGCAGCAGGCTGAGGCTGAGGAGGGAGCCCCCCAGGCCCCCAGCACATCCTCAAGCTTCGTGGTGATCCAGAGCCCACAGGGCTGTCCTGTGATGCCTGCCTGTGTCCCCAGACTCCCAGCCTGGGATACAGAACTTAGGCGGGCTTAAGAAATAACGGACTCTCAGGACTGGGACTTGGGAAGTAAGTGTGTGTGTGTGTGTGTGTGTGTGAGCATACCCACGCACACCTCACACGTGTGCACACACATGAGCCAGCAAACACCCTAGACTAATATGTATGTCCTTTTGACCCATGGGCACTTTCTTGGGAGAGATTCTTAGGGTGTCAGGCCTACACACACTCGCTTTTCTATCTGCTCAGTCGGAGGCAAGCCCTCACACAGGCACACAGACAGGCCGACGTGGGCACTTGCCCACAGAGACCACACACAGCCTGGGGCTGCCTCGGGAGGCCACACGGGCAGGTCCCGGGGAGAGGCTGGGTGCAGCCAGCTCCTGTGCTGAGAGAAGGCTCAGAACGAAGATAAATGAGGCCCTTCTAGGAGCCCTGGAGTCAGCCCAGCAGCTGGTTCACCTCCATTGCCTCAGGGTGCCTGTGAAGGTTCTAGAGTTTTCCTGGGCACAGGGGATATGTAGTGAGAGATGAATCACTCCTCCCAGCAGTCAAGTTATTAATCACTCCATCTGGCCGGGTCCTCTCTACAGAGAAGGGCTGTGCTCTCAGAAGGGCCTCAGGGAGACCCTCAATCAATAAGAGGGTCCCTGAGCAGAGGGGAGGGCTGGGCAGAGCCCTGGGCCCAGCTCCAGTGGCGTCCCCCGGGGAGGGCAAGGGGTCTGGGGACTCAGGAGTCATACCTGCTTCCAAGGCTGCTTTTCCTCCCTTGGGTCTGGGGGTGGAGAAGCAGGCTATGGAGCCCTGGGTGGCAGGAAACTGAGCAAATGGAGCACTTGCCTGTCCCAGTGAGGGAGGAACAGAGGCCTTGGGACCCCAGGCAGGTGCTGGAGTGCCTGGGGTGGGATGGCCATGTACATGAGACGTGGGTTTTCAGTGGGTCACGGAGGAGGTGGCTGCCTCTCAGCTCATCCCCACCTCATGGGCAATCCTGCTTCCTTCTCTGCCTCTCTCCCTCCAGATCAATTTTGTATTTCTGTTCAACATCGTCAGGATCCTGATGACAAAATTACGAGCATCCACCACATCAGAGACGATTCAGTACAGGTAAGTGATGGGTGCCTTGACCCCCTGCAGGGGGGTAATGAGGGGGCCATCTGGGCCATTCCCCTGCCTCTGGGCAGGGCCCTCTGAGTCCTCACTCAGGCACCCAGAAGAAACACCCATGAGTGAGGCCCTGACTGGAGTATGGGCTCAGATGGGTCTGGTCACCCTCTCCCCACAGGAAGGCGGTGAAGGCCACCCTGGTTCTCCTGCCCCTTCTGGGCATCACCTACATGCTGTTCTTCGTCAACCCTGGGGAGGATGAGCTGTCACAGATTGTGTTCATCTATTTCAACTCCTTCCTGCAGTCATTCCAGGTGGGGCGCATGGCTGGATGGAGCCACAGCGAGCTTTCCTGACCTGGCACCTGTGCCCTCACAGAGCCCATCACCCAGGACTGGTGCATGCGTGGTCCACTTCATACACACCAAAATGCAAGCACATGCACTCCCTGAACCCGGGCCCTGGCCCCGTCACTCCCACCCCAAGGCCCAGCTGGGCCCACCCACAACTGGGTTAGGGTCACCCCCATCTGCAGCTACTGCTGGCCCAGCCCATGCAGGATTCATGGCAGCCTGTCATTCCCAGTGGACTCCAGTACACGTGCTCCATGATGGGGGTGCCCACCCGCCTCTGAGCCTCCAGGGTCAAGTCAGAGTGTTTCCCCAGACATCCTGTCCCCATTCCACCCCTCCAGGCAGAGCAGCTCCCAAAGCAGGTCACTGACCTCTCCCTCCTTCCTTCCCAGGGCTTCTTTGTGTCTGTCTTCTATTGCTTCTTCAATGGAGAGGTATGAGACCAGGGGAGAGGTATGGGTCCAGGGGAGGCCTGGGCTCTGAGGTCCCCAGACCCCACTCCAGGGCAGTTTGAGTGGAGCCCCAACCTTTTGGGAGTCCTTGGCTCTGCTCAGCTCTGCCCTGGAAAAGGGAGGGGAAGGCAGGAGAAACCACCCAGCTTTGGGGAGACAGGAGTCCTGCCTGAGGGACTCCAACCAGTTTAGAAGGTCAACTATACAGGCCAGAAACAATGTGCTGGCTCTTCACAATGCACTGGTGAGCAGGGAGCCCAGGCCACAGGGTCTCATAGAAGAGGGAAGCCACAACACAGGTGGCGACAGGAGAATGCGTTCCAGGAGCAAATCAGGTGTAACCCATTCATCCAAGCCTTTATGGACCCAGGGAGCAGAAAGTCAACAGCACATCCCCCACCTCCCCTCACCGCCACAGAGGAGACCGCATGCCAGGCTGCAGGGAGGCCCAGTTAGCTCCCCAGCCTTAGTGCAGAATCCTAGCACAGCAGACTTGGGGAGATGCTCACTCAGGCCTGCGGTGGGTGAGGACACACAGTGGGTGCTGGGGCAAAGAGCAGACATCTCTCCACCAGGGCCTGAGAGCTTCCAGACTCCACAGAGGAGTCCCAGTGCCATCCAGAGGCCCTTCCTCTGCCTGTACACAGGGCGATGGCGGAGTTTGCACGCCTGGGTCTCTGTCCGCTAGAGCAGACCCCAGATGGGAAAGTCCAAAAGTGGAGATCGGTATGAGCTGGGGGGCAGGGAGAGAAGGAGCCGCTAGAGCAAGCAAACAATGAATGCCTATGGAGCGCTTATGCAGTTCAGCCACGTGCCAGGCGAGCACCTGGATGACACGATCCATTTGCAGACAGATTCTTCTGTTTCAAAACAAATGGAAATAAAATGGCACCAGCAACGATCAGGTTTTGAAATGAGCAGCTTTCTAATCTTAGCTGTGTGCCATGGTAAGAAGGTGGAGTCTAACAGGAGGTAGGTAAGGTCAGGGATGTGGAGGAGGCAAGAGGAAGGTCTTTCAGAAGAGAGAAGGATGCTAGCCAGGTGTGCGAGTGGAGCACACACTTGAGCAGGGCCTGGGAGAGTGCAAGGGGCAGATCTGTGAAGCCAGATCCCCTAGTCCTGCCTTAGAGGTGTCAGAGCAAGTGGGGGCAGGGAAGGCAGTGTGTCCAAAAGAAGCATCAGGTGGAGTGAGTGGAGTGTGGAGTGTCTCCAGGAGAGAGATGAGGAAGGAGGGGCCCCCAAGAGAGGCTGCAGAGAGGAGGCATGAGCTTCAAGGGCCAACAGCATCAGGATAAGGACCCAGCTTTTGGAACCAGCCAGTGGGTGTGTGGGTGGCATTCAGGGAGGCCACCCCAGTCTCAGTTGACGGGGCAGGGAGCAGGGGAGAGGACCGGACCCAGGAGTGGCCCCCGTGGGCCCAGCTGAGCCTCTGCCTCCCCCTGCAGGTGCGCTCCGCTGTGAGGAAGAGGTGGCATCGCTGGCAGGACCATCACTCCCTCCGAGTCCCCGTGGCCCGTGCCATGTCCATCCCCACATCACCCACACGGATCAGTTTCCACAGCATCAAGCAGACGGCCACTGTATGACCCCTCAGTGCCCCCACCTCACCCATCACTCCACCGTGGGGACAGCCTTCCAGTCCTCCTCCAGCGCCTTTCTCTGGGTTCTCCCTGCCACGCAGGCCCTGGTGGGGGCAGATAGGGGAGAGACCAGCTCTCCAGGCTGGCAGGAGAGAGGCTGTGCAGCAGCACGAGGGACTCTCAGGAACGCGAGCGAAGAAGTCACAGGAGAAGAGAAGAGCGGGTCACATATCTACAGGCATTTGCCCACACCAGCCTCTCTCGCACCGTCCTCACTGTAGCTACGATCACAGATGAGGAAACTGAGGCCCAGAGCCAGGAAGGGCCTGATCAAGCCACACAGCTAGTGGTGGGCCTGGGGCTCCTCTGCCCGACTCATGTCGCATGTCTTCCCACCAGAAACAGTGTGAGAGTTGGTCCCCCTCACTGCCTTCTGCCTCTGTGCTCAGCGGCGCCACCTGCAGCTGGGGGACGCACAGCAGCTCTAGTAAAGGATTAATTCAGTGGGCTTTATCCCAGGGACTCTCACCTACAGAAGCCTCATGTACACCCCACGCCAGACCTGGCCGTCCCTCCACCTCTCCCCATTCTCCTGCCCCTGGAGCCCCAGGAAGGATGCTGCCTCTTTTCCTGAGAGACCTCTTCTCAGCCTAGTCCACAGATTCAGGGCCTTGGGGAGGGGCTGATGGGGAGGAAGACATGGCCGGGGCAGTCATACACTCCTAGGCCAACCAGATACATCATGCAGGACAAAACAGGGAGGAGAAGCGTGGAGGACACGTTGGGAGAGGAGTTGGGTAGAAGAAGCAGAAACCGAAGTAATCCCTCAGCCCCCACCTGAGGCTGGGCTTCGGCCTCCCTTTCAGAAACAACATCTCTGCTGTCTGTGAAATAAATCATGCCTCTGTGGAAACGGCCTCCCCTCGGGTCAAGTCGCCCAAGCATCCAAAGGTGTGCTGGGGGCCCAGGATGGTGGGCTGGGCCCGTCCCCATTTACAGAGACTCACCCTGGCCTGGGGCCGGCTCTCCCTCTCCACCTGTGCCTGCAGGCCTGTTCCTTATTCACCCAGGCCAATACCTGCCCCTGCTTCCCAAGTGAAGCCAGTTTAACTCTGCTTGGAGGAGAGGTGCAGCTCCCCCAGGGCTCTGGAATCTGGAGGGAAGTGTAAACAAGGCCCCACCACCTCCGTGATTGACAGCCAGGGCTGCCTCCATCTTGGCCCCCATCTGCCCTTCCCTCCAGGAAAGGGTGGGAGTTGAGGGGCAGCAGCAGCCATCAGGCCTGGGTTCGAAAGGTTTTGCTCTAGGTATGCCCACCAGCCCAATTTTTTAAAATTATGTATCCCATCTTGCAAAATTTTTAAATTGACATCTAATTTTTTTAATTTTTAAAATTTTATTACTTTTTGTAGGGGGAGGTGATTAAGTTTACTTATTTATTTTTAGAGGAAGTACTGGGGATTGAATCCGTGACCTTGTGTATGCTAAGCATGCGCTCTAGCACTTCAACTATACCCTCCCCCCGATATCTAATATTTTTATGTAAGTTTTAAAACTTGTGAAAGATGTGATTTCTGGCATTAGGTAAATATTTACATTTTAAAATAAAACTGCCACAGCACTTTAAAATATATCATATGGAATCCAAACACAGCAGTGATTTCATGCTCACCCTCCTCTAATGAAGAAAACCACACAACCTACCCTTCCTTAACGGGTGGAAATTTTAAGTTTTTCTTTTTCTCTTTGAACTTGTATTTTCATTCCATTCCCCCTATCGAATTTTTTTTTTTACTAATGCAGCAATTTTTATGGTTGAAAGTCTTTGCTCATTTTATCATACTTCTCTGCCATAAAATATACTTAGAAATTGAAATATTTAATTTCCTGTCACCAAAGATTCTAAAGGTTTTTTTTAATCTTATGGATTGAGTCATTACAACCATTTTTGATATAACAGGTAATATAAAATTTCTTAAAACAACATTGATACTAAACATTTTTATAAGTAATGATTAAACCTAAAAAGGAAAATACTGAAAAGACATTTTAGCGAAAGAGATAGGAAATTAATTGTTCATGAATCTATGGATGAATCAGGACTCAGTCAGCATCATTTCTTTTTTTCATTTTTACAGCTCTACATGCTGAGAACCCTTTTCACACAAATAAGTAGATGTCACCCAATTTTCTGAAATCCCGAGATGCGTGCCAAAAACTGCATAGTGATATATCATCAAAAATGATCTGTCAGCTGGCCACTTGATTAAGTCCTCTTTAAATAAGACTGGAAAAAGTGAATTGAAAATTATCAGACTTGTCAAGGGCTGCCCAGGGACCACACTCCTTCCATGGTTCAGCACGGGCACCTGGGGGCCCCGCTGATGCTGGGGCCAGGATGGGTGGGTTAAGCGTTGGGCTGTGCATAGCGTGAGATGCACTGGGGTGCCCAATTTCACTTCTGTGCCAGTGGGAGTGGTGGGGAGCCCAGACTTCGTGGGCCCCTAAGACACTGAACCGTTGCAGGTCTTGGAAAGTCTAACTGCACACTCAGAGGCGTGCTTTTGGCTGCTTCCATAATAAGCATCATCAGGACTGCTGTAGAGCAAGGAGCTGTAAATGACTCCGCCCCAAGAGGCCACTTAGAGAGCCCTGCTGCCTGAGGAGACCAGTGCTCATCAGAGGAACGCAGAGAACTCAGTCCTCCGTGGAGCCTCAGTGCCAAGTCCCGACCGCTCATCACTGCCCCTCAGGTGCGGACCGCTCATTACTTGCCTGGGCTGCCCTTGGAGGGCCTGCCCCAGAGTCCCCGAAGTGGCTAACCCTTGTGCAGCAGGCAGCTTGACCTGCTCCCTCTGCAGTTTGGAGAGGCCCCTCCTCGGTCCTGTGCTGACCCTGCATCCTCTCATTACTGGGGCCCATTGTCACGGCCCCCGCTGAGCTCTGGCTTTGAAATGCCACCAGTGCCACTAGACCCTCTGGGTCCTCCACTCTCGACCGGCCCCTGTTTCTCGCAGCCAAGCCAGTCCTCGTTAGCGTCTGCTTCAGTGCAGGCAGCTCCTCGCCTGCAGACCTTCCTGGAAAGTGGCCTCATTAACAGACTCCTTAGCAGGCAAGTTCCCAGACCCCTGTTTAACCCTTCCCTGCCCCAATTTACAAAGCTGAGGAAGACTTGAGACCTCAAGGGTTGTCTTCACACCAGCCCTCTAGCCCCACTGCCAGTAAAAGACCACAGACAGAGCCCTGTCCCCAGCACAGCTGCCATCCCCGACCCACCATCAATGTGGGGCCCCAAAGTGCCTGCTGCGGTATGAGCCTATAAGTGACAAGTTTGTCTGCAGGTGTGGCAGGTGATGGTAGAAATTGAAAGGCGAGGATGACAGTTCCCTGCTGGGAGGGCCCATGTAGAGATGCTACCCCGGGGGTGGGGGTGGTGACGAAGGCTCCAGACCTCAGTTTCTTGTGGAGGAGACGAACTAGCAGCAGAACAGAAAACGGACTTAAGGTAGAGTTAATATGCAGAAACTGACTGCCAACATGTGGACTTACATAGAGATAGAGGCTCACAGACGAGGCAAACACTCCAGGGGCCACAGAGGGAGGCTCATATGGACACAAAGAGACTCCTAGGGACGCACAGAGGTGGACCCAGACACTGGACGGACACACATCCATGCCAGTCATTCCCTGAGTACTACTGTGTGCCAGGTATGGAAATAACACTGAATAAGACAGGTTCCCATTTCAAGAAATTCAAAATCTAGTTGAGAAGAGATGGCTCCCAAACAGTACAAGGTAAAAACAGGAAAAAGGAATTTGTGCTCTGCATCCCTACTTGAATGGATTTCTGTGTCCATTTCTGTTTGTCCTCGTGGGGAGAAGGGGTTCAGTCCGCTCTTGCAGCTGGACCTTCCTCAGCCCCCTGCTTTTGCCGCATCTTTGAGCCCATGCCCATGGTGGCCCCCAGCCAGACAAGGTTTATGGCACACAAAACCTCAGCCACCCTCCCCTAATTCTTTCCCACGTCCCCCAACCCAGGTCCTGGAGCTCCCGGACAGAACAGACCTAGACTCGCACAGTTTGCTATTCTTCCTTCCTGAGCACCTTCAGAGCCCCCTGGGCAGATGGGGTGCAGGTGCAGTGAGATGGCTGGGTGAGAAGGGGGCTGTCACAGGAGAGACAGGTGAACGGCAAGTTGTCTCCTTTGCATGACTGAAGCCACAAGGAGGCATGTCTGGGGTCTACAAGGCCTCAGGGGTGTCATTTCCCAGAGTGACATTTCAGCCAGGGTCAGAGGGAGTTCGGTAGAAAAGAGCGGTCCCTGCAGCCAGGGAGCCTGGCCAGGGGCCCACTGCTCTGAGGACACCCCTGTGTGTGCCCAGGCTGAGGGCACCCCCTCTTCTCCACTCCACATGTAGACAGAAAACTGCAGGAGGAAGGCCTCCACATCATTCCAGGACTCTCCTGCAGGTGTCCACAGATTCATCCCGCCCTGAGGGGCCCCATGCCTCGGTGGGTCCCGACTTCCTGCTGGGTGGACAATGAGCCCACCCTTCACCAGTTCCAGGTAGGGTGACAAGACCAGGTCTGCCCCAGCTCATATAGGTTTACACCTGTTGTCCTGGTGTAATTAAAAGCACCACTCTCACCCTCACAAATGTCCTGGTTTGGACAATAAGCTACAGTTGACCCCTGAACCAGGCTGGAGGGTAGGGGTACCAACCCCAGGCAGTCACAAAGCTGCGTATTACTTACAGTCAGCTGTCCATGTCTGCGGTTCCACATCTGGGGATTCAACCAACCTCCAATTGTGTAGTCCTGCAGCACGCATTTAGTGGGAAAAAAAAATCCATCTATGCAGACCTGCACAGTTCAAAGCCACGTCGTTCAACGGTCAACTCTGTATGATCACGCTATTAAACCCCACATTTGTCTGGGTACATAGTAGGGGCCACAAATGCTGCTTGAGTAAATGAATGAGAGCCAGGTCCACACAAACTTCCAAATGTTAGCTACTGCACTTTGGAAAGAGCCCGCATAGAAGGGAACCTCCGAGGCTGCAACCTGAGACCAGTCCGGATATCTGCCTGTTGGACAAATGGGAAGCAGAGAGGGACAGGGACGAGCTGATTCTAGCTCTGGAACAGAACTGTCCCTCAGTCTCTGCTGTAAATACAACCCAGTAATTAATTGTGATTCTTAATTAGCTGAGGCCCAATCCTGATAAACAATTGGGCATCATGGATCCCCGTGGAGGCCCGTCTGCCCAAGAAGGCGGAGAAATTCAAAGACCTGTCATTTCTTCCTGCATCCCCCAGCTCGGGCCTCCAGTTCCCTGGGGAAGGCTGGTGGTGGGCCCACCAGGGACCCTGCAGCTGCCGCCTTCCCTTCTTATTCTTTCAGCGCAATCCAAGTACTCGTCCTCTCGGGGCTTTCCGAAGGGTGCACTGCGGGTCTGTGCCACTTGTTTCTAAGCAAACTAACTCCCCTAGCCCTGCGTCTCCAAATCCATCTCATTCCTCCACCTGAAACACATTCTGGGCTCTCCCCCACACCCTCAACATGCAGGCTTGGATGTTAAGGTCTTTGAACCTGAAGGAATGAGGAGAAAAAATCCTTCCTTGGAAACCTGATGGATTCTTTTCCTTAGAAAAATATAAATGTATGTACTGCAAAAGTACAGTGTATTGAATGGTGCGTGAAGTTTCTACAGAAATCCTCAAAGGAACCACGGACCCGAGTTTCAAAGCCCCTGGCCTCAGGATGAAATTAAACCCCTCTAATTTAGCTAATAAGAATTCCCTGCGTTGGTGGTGCTCAGGGCTGCGCGTGTATTAGAGGTACCAGGGCATTTAAAGCCACACAGGTTTCCGCGCCCACTCCAGACCTCCTGACACACGATCCCAGGAGGTGAGAACTCGCACTTTTAACCATGGTCCTCACACGGGAGAGCCCTGGGAGCTGCTGGCACGTGAGGCCCTTCCTTTGCTGTGTCCCGCTCTGCACCCACCTCCCCTGCAGCGGGCGACTCCTCTCTCCCAGAGGCCTCACTGCTGGCCAGTTCACCTACCTACTGCGTGTAAGGTTTAGTCTCCTCCAGCAGGTGCTGAAGGGCGTGAGGGCAGGGCCTTGTCTGCTCCCTGCCCTGAATTACCAGCACCCAGGAGATGTCAGCGTTCCAAAAGAGATTTCATTTGAACTAAGGGTTCCAAAAGCATGAACCTGAAAACCACTGAATGTATACAATCTTTTGTTACTGACCCGGGTCCTTGGACTTTTTAAGCAATAGAAATTGACAAGGGGCCAGAGAAGAAATTCAGGGAAGGCTTTACTGGGACTTGTGCTGCAGCACAAGGGAGTGAAAATAAGAAACAGGTGCCCTTGCTCACTCCCCGAGGGGAGGTGAGCTGGTTCCTTAAATGGAGTGAGGAGCAGAGGGTTGGGCAGGAGGTGGTGCTGTGTGCAGAGGTCGTGTGCAGTACCCTGCTTTGGCTCTGAGCCTCAGAAATGGCAGTTTTTACACAAATACTGAATGTGGCAGCTGCCCTGGAGAAAATGCGTTCGGAAGTCATTCAAGTATTTCTTGAGTGCCTGCCAAGTGCTAGGCCCTCCCCTGAGCATAAGGGAGGAGACAGCCTTGCATGAAGCAGACCCAAATCCAGTCATGGAACTTACCATCTGATGTGGAGACTGAAAATTAAACAAGGCAAAGAAGTAAAATATGCTATTAAGTGTTAAGTGCTAAAGAGGACAGGAATGGGGTATGAAGTATGTTT